CCTATTGTCAACATAATTACGGAGTGTGATTTATTTTCAACTCAAATTATCTTCAAACTATAGAAATATAAAGTTATTAGGGCGGAAAATCCGTCTGGATAACAGCAGACTGACTTCACGTAAAATATACGACAGGTCTGGACCACTCGTAAATTTTGTTCGTATCTGAAAAAAATCTTAGAATACGAAAACATTGGTGAATGCCACAAATTCTCCTGAATCATTCGTACGCACAACTTAAGAACAAATCTGTGCGTACGAACGGTTCTTGCGTGAGGCCCATTGTGTTTTTATACTTCTATCAGTTTATTTCAGTGATTTCTTCATGTTTTTCTTTCGTTAATAAAACTTTACAAAGCAACTCGTGGTCTTATAAACTCTGAGCTTCTGTATGTGAAACAGGAACACAGATCCTGTTGAAGCTCCTTCAGGGTTAGAAGGTAAAATCTGAGCGGTGAGTCAGAGCAGCTCTGTCCTCTCAGAGCTCGTTGTGAAGCACACTGTTCTCTAAACGAGCTGCAATTTGTCCTAAACTGTCCTCCTGATGCTCCACGGTCCATTTAGTGTCATCAGAAAAAGTCGTCCAGTTTTCAGGAGATAAAAGTCTTTTCTGTCACGAAGAAAAGAACCTCACCTGACCTTTTTTCCTGTCCGCTGAAGTTTTTATTCATCTCTCTGAAGGACAGTTTGTTTGCTCTCACATCAGCTGGTCTACAGAAAGATCTTTGGTCTTTCAGATTCCTGGTCTCAAAATCGGTTAAATGAACTGACTTGTAGTTATATCTGTTGACTAACGCTAATTAGCCGTGGCGGCCATCTTGAATTAGATCATTGTGGGCTCTTCATTTGTTTATAGTTTTAATTTAAAACTGGATGATTCACTTTAGCTGTCAGGAATTATTTAAAGTAAACAAACAAACAAATAATCCAAGCACAAAAAATACAACTTTCTTTCACCTGTAATATTTTACAGATTATATTAGGTTCTCACTCAGGATTCAGTCCAGGTGGTAAAACTAAAACTGGGTTTAAACATTTGAATTCACAGCAAGTTCCTGGTCCTGGATTGTCTCATGTTTCTGGTTCTGTTCTGCAGATTCATCCACCCAACAAATCCTGCAGGACTGAGTGTGGATCTGTAAAACCCTGCTGCAGGTCTGAGCTGCACAACTGGACATGTATGTACTTCTCCCTCCATCTAAGTTTGACTTCAGAGACAAACCAGCCTCCATTTTCTGTAGCCAGATGATTTTATTTAAACCAAAATAAGATATATATTTTTCATTTTATAAATCTGGATTTGTATAAAGTGTGTGTGTCCTTGTTTTTGTTACTTGGTGGGGACAATTTTCCAGGAAAATACAGCCTCGTGTGGACCGGATGCTCCTTGTGGGGACCAAAGCCTGGTCCCCACGACTCCGGAAGCTGATTTTGGGTCGAGGGGTTGGGTTTAGGACCAAGGTGTGAATTCAGTTTAGGTTAGTTTTAGGGTCAGGTAGGTTACCTGTGAGGTTAGTTTTAGAGTAAACAGTCAGGGTTAGGATATAAAATTACCAAAAAATGAATGGAAGTCAATGGGAAGTCCCCACAAGGATATAGAGATATTAGGTGTGTGTGTGTGTGTGTGTGTGTGTGTGTGTGTGTGTGTGTGT